TTTTTAAAAGCTACTACCATTAGGCTAACACAAGGCGCCTCATCCTTTAATACCGATGTAGAGCTACAAAGTACTCATTTCTAAAAGCAGGTGAGGAATTTTAAATTACATTTTAAATGCATGGCTGGAAGAGAAGATACTGAGAGTAGTGCTATCTAAAATGATAACCACTAGTGTCAGTAAAGTGCCAGCTTTCAGCAAGGAATGACTGCTCCATCAGGGATAGTCAATCCTGCTGCCATTAAGGCATACCTGAACATTTCACAAAGCAATCGACCTAAGAGGCAATTTGCAAACAGTGTGCTGCCTCAAGGACACACAGGAATCAATAACTTCAGGTTTCTATTCTGAATTATTCATTCGGTCTGTGCACAACAAAAAGGTGTTCTCTCTCTTGCTAATGCACTACCACTGCAAGACAGGACATGGTTTTGAACACTGGGCTTTAAAACAATAGTTTTCAAAAGCATTTTGTCCTACTTAAAAAAGCCTTCTGGTTAATAACACCATTTAAAGTGACTTTTGGAGCAATGAATGACCGTGAAGGGATGCTCCCATTGCACCCACCAGCAGCTTGTTTATCCCAATGTATGGTCAGCCAAGGGTCCCAAAATCCAACCCACACTGCAGGTGGCACCAGAGGCTGGGGTCCCTATCAGTGCCATGGCCAGGACAGCTGTCCCTCTCCAGGGAGCTGCCCAAGCACCCAGAGAGTGGCTAGAAGGCCAGTTCAGAGGCTCTCTACAGCTTTTTCTTCCATGAAAAGCAAGAAATGTTTTCCCTTGATATTGTGTGTTCACTATACCACCAGCCAGTCTCTGCTCACCTTTAATTCTATTTTCTGTACATCCTAAGTTCTAATAAAGAAACAAAGTATTTTAAAATAGCCCATTTAATCTTTCAGGACTAGGCCCTGGCACTATAAAAATATTTTTAATTGATTTGAAAAAGAAAATCAACAAAGATGAATTTATCTGCTTTTATTCTGTTTTCACCATCAGCTTCTTTTATTTTCTGACTTTTATCTCATTCTCCACCTGTGTTTCACACTTGCCTCACTAGTTCCTTAATTTTTGGGGTTATGAATTCAAAGGATGTCAGGAAGAATTTCTGGGCTTTCACGGAGGCTGGATTTTTCTTTGGACGCCTTAGAACCATGAGAACACTACACATGAATAAAACTTGCAGCCACAAATTTACCTGTTCTTGTCACATCAAGGGTTACTTACAGCTCAAGCAAGATTTAACACCCTATTTTTACAGCAGCAGAGTGAAACACTTGCTGGAAGCAGAGACTGCTTCCAAGAAGAGAGGCGATCTCTACCCCACCACCACACTACACTGGCATGTGAATTCTCCCTGGAAGCTTATACTACAGCAGCAGGCAAGTCTAAAGTCCAATAATCTCACCTCTCCAGTCTGTATGTCAACAAGACATAAAAGATAACATTTAAACTGGAGCCACACCAGCAGACAGCAAACAGTAGCCTTAAGATGTCTAAAGCTCCAACCAGTTCTCAGAAAATCTGTTATCAACCCAAAAGAAAAATTTCAGCATTAAAACAATTCAGTGACAGTCCACTTGACCATAAACTGTGGAATTCAAAAATCACTTAAACAGCTGAATTTGGCAAATAACACATTGTGTACCTGTCAAAAACTAGGTATCTCAAGAACATGAGCAGGAAATATTTCTGCAATGACTATGTTTCTATTTTAGCACAGCATAACATAATATGCTTTACTGCTCAGCTAAACTGACAAGGGACTAACACTGAATTTTAAATATTATGCACTTACACACTTTGAATCTAATGCAACTAGAGATGGGCAACAGACAGCAGAAGGGTAAATATTTAAATTCATCTTGTTGTTTGTGGCTACTAAGTAAATCCCATAAATATAGAACTTAATTAAAAGAATTACAGTAGGCTTCCACGTCATTCCCCAACAAAAGATGGGCACTTGTAAAAGCATCATTGCTGCTAACCTAGAATAAAACCTCTTAGATATACTGGTATTAAAGTATGAAAATTCAGGACTTTCTCAAGGACTGTAGGAAAATAGGAGTTTAATTAGAATGAGAAAAGAAAGCACTAAATAAGAAAGGAAAATGTGAAAAGAGATGAGAAAAGAAAGAGGGGGGAAAAAAAATCAGGGGACAGAGAAAAGAAACAGGAGAAAGAAAGCAAAGAACACAAATAGGAGGGAAAAAAGATGAAATTAAAATATAATCTATCCCCATGCCCATACTGGGGCCATGTCCACATGCATGGTCTGTTCTTTCCCAAGAACTCTCATAATTTTTATTATTATCTTTTCTGCTTCTTGTTGAACCCTACACATGACAGACAAAGCACACCGACTTCCTGCTACAGTCAGTGGAGCAAAAGCATTTCTAGGAAAAAAATCATCTTCCCCTTAGGCAGATGTTTTAGTGAAGGGATATTTAAAAGGGCCTGTTCCCTCAGCTATCTATTAAAGAATTCTGGGTAGCCAGCTCAAATAAACCTATTGCAATGTCTGAAATGAGACAACTCCCATTCTGGCTTGTCTGAAACAAGGTATTGGCAGTGAATGGGCAAATCTGAGTTGAATATGATTTGTATTAAATAGGAGACAGCTGAAAATAAGGGCTCAAGTTAGTGATTGAGTAGGAGAGGTCCACTGTCTCTGCTAGAAATGCCCTCATTTATTGTGCTATTTTTCTAAATCCCCTCCACCTTACAGTGTTTTCTAAATATGCCCTTACGTCTTAAGACAGAGAATGTTTGAAAGATTGATTTTAATTTCCATACAAGTCACTGTTCTAGAAACAATGTCTAAGAACAGAAATCTGACAACTGTATCACCACCTGCTTTCAAACTATTTCCACAAGACAAAGTTGCATTGCTACATAAATTCCAAGTTAATGGAAGAGCTATAGTGAAACTATATTTGTGGGAGCTAGCAACCCTTAAATTGAATTCTAAAGTGAGCAATCTGAGATGAAGATCAAGGCCAGCAATACACACAGTCACACACCCCATCTGTCTCTCTTATCTGTGTCTATTCCTCTGCAATCACCCAGCCCAGAACTATTTGGAAATTAAGGCGTAAGGCCACTGACCTTGGCAAGCAATGCAAAAGGATTTAAAGTGAACTCTTCACCCTCATTTCTTTATGGGTTTAGAATCTAAATCTCTTTTAAGCTACTCCCAAGAGGTTGACAGCATGGCAATGATGACTATGCATGTTTTAGAAATGTGTAATATGAAGCTGTATAGAAATATCATTTTCAGTACACTACTCTTGGGTAAAATAAGGCACTATATTTAACTAATATTAAAGGATTGCTCTCCAAGAAGCTTCAGATAGGCCTTTCTGCACCCCACAGAAAACTAAAGCTACATTTTTAAAATGCTTCTTTAATACACAAAGACACAAATAGCCTCTATAAACATGAAAACAGTCACCCTCAATTAGATGAGGAAATGCCTGATGGTTAATTTAGATATTGCATTTTACTTCCAGAGTCCTGGCAACCTTCCTGGATGCTTTTTTCCCCTTTAATTTCTCTGAAATATTCTACAATGGATACTCTTCTTATATTATAAACATGAGGCAAAATTCATTAAAGGAAGGCTGCAGAACTGCCTTTTGTCTTTTCTCATTAGCAAGTAAAATTTTCTGCCGGGACATGGGGCCACTTGGATGTTTTAGGAATAAAAGGAGGAGGTTTCTGCACAGAAGGAGTCCCTGGAGCAGCTGTTTCTAGATACAGCATGTTTCCCTTGGGTCTAACAAAATTCACAAAGGGAAACCCATTGTTATGAGCAGTTTTGGGATTCCAGACTCACCCTGCCCACAGAAAGATTGTATGCTGCACAGAGACTGATAGCAACATGATGGCTGATGGCTCAGTCATGATGAGAAGGACCAAAAGATCCCTCTGCAAGACAGGTCTCTTGCAAAAGACAAAATTGAGTCCAGCTTCAGTTCCGAGCCTGGTTGATTTCCCACACCATACCATTTCCAAAAGCTACATACATTCCAAAACTTGAAAAGATGTGAGGGAAAAAAAAGGTAAAAAAAAACTTTTAAACATCCACAATCCTGCAGAAATTCTCTTTTATTTCAGTGTCCAATATTGCTCAAATACCTACAAGAGCAGCCACAAGAAAAAGAAAAATAATGAATTTGTTCCCTAAAATACTCTGTTTTTCTCTAAACATGAACACAAGGGGATCTTTCCAACAGTATTTGAACATTGCACTCATTAATTAATTCTCAACTCTGGCAATTTTTATTTTTATCAACTCAGATACATTTTTATTTAATATGACTTTTACATTAATTCCACCTCAGAGTGAGGGGGAATATCAAAGGAAGTTATGTCAAGGAATTATACAGTCTGTTTCTCCAGAGACAGCAAATTTAGCAAATTTAGAACTGAAGGGCCATGCAGTAAAGGTGAACTCACAGCTTTTAGTTCTCTGTCAACTCAAATCTGTACCTGGTGTTAAAATAATATCCTCTGTCCCTGAAGTAAAGTTCACTGCTATTCAAAAGAAAGATATTGAAAAGTGACTTTTGTCGCTGGAAAACCTCTATTTCTAATCCATGAGCAGCATATTGATGCCACAGAATGATCTAGAGATCTCTCTTTCAGGGTCAATCCCCTCTCCTCAGCGTGTTGCTTCAAATATATATTTTTTTCATTTGCCTTAGCTGTGGTACTACAGCCATGACACACTAATCCCAAAATGAGCCAAGCCTTATAGAAAGAAATCAACTTGAACTCATTTTAATTTCAAATTCAAGTACTCCATTAGATCACCTTGGGCAGCATTTCAACTCCCCCATGACTCCTCAAAGGCAAAGAACACGCATAAACCTCACAATTTTAAGATCTTCCTTACATGTAACACAGTTGCATGCTGAAATCAAACATGTAGTAAAAGATACAATCACTGCTGTAACAATCAGTCATCCACACATGACAGAAATAACAACTGACCTTCATGAGATGCTGATTTATCCATTTTGTGAATGTCTTCTTTTGTACTTTGTCACGCTCATCTAAAGTAAAAAGGAAAAACAAATGTTTAAACAGCTCTACAAATTATGTAGATGATTTCTTTATGAAGACCTTTATAAAATTAATTTTCTAATAACTTTTGAAAACATATTAGCCTGTAAAAGCTCCAAAATGCCTAATCAAAATAATAGCGTAGAAATGTATTTTTCAGTACATCACAGCATGATATGAAAAAGTTTCTTGATGCTCCAGGTGTGTTCCTCCAGGGCAACAGCCCCTCAGGTATTACAGTAGACTACTGGTAAAAATCCAACTGCCTAGAAGAAGTCAGCTGGCACTCAAAATATACTGAAAAGATCATGGCAAACTCTTAAGAACTATAAATGCTACTCGTGGTCTATATAATCAAATTATTACTAGTGTATTAGGCAATAGAAAATTTGGTGCAATATGAAAGCTAACTTTTACAATCATTATGCTTTTCAACTGGCATAGCACCCTTGTTCAAACACACAAGGGCTAGTTACAGCTTCAGTCAGGGAAAGGACTCTTAACCCTCTACAAAATAAACAGGGATGTCCACTAACCCAGATATGGGACCCAGCCACTGCCAGCAGTTTGCTCCCTGGCGTGGCACTTAGCATCAATGATTGCCCACAAAACGCTGTAATAATAAATGCAATAGACTCAGGGTAAGAAAGGATTCCACTTAGGGTAGGGAGCACAAGCATGTGTTCTGCCAAGCCACACTGCAGAAAATCTAACCACCACCCCAGCACAAGAGTTATCTCCAGCTACCTGAGCAGGGCCACAGCCAGTACAACTGCTACAGAGCCTGGTCAGACACCAGCCCAGAGCTCCCCAGAGCAGAGTCACAGTGCATCAGGACTGTGACCACCTGCCCAAGTCTAAAATAGCAAGAGCCCTGTACGACACAAAATAACCCTTCCGCCCTGTACAACACAACTGCAGCTGTTTCATTGACTCAGGCTATTTGCAGTGTGGCTGAGAATGAGCAGTGAGCTCAGGTAGCAAAACAAAATCCCTGTGTACCCACTGCCATCACTAAAAGAACTGAACTAGATCCTGTATTTTACATTTAAAAGTATGGCTTTCAGGTTGGTCAAATATAACAATAAATAGATTCAAATAAAGTCACAGAAGGTCTTTCAAGGACTTTCAAATCTCTGCTGTGATACTGAAGTCTTTCAAAAGAGCAAGACATCATACCAGAGTTTATCCTGGGCCAAACTGAGCACCATATGGGGTTCCTAACAGTAGTGAGAAATGAGTATTGGGGAACAGAAGCAAAAAGAAAACAAGTAAAAGCCTGTGAAGCCTTTGCATAGTCCTCTTATGTGACTCACAGACTTTCTACATGCTCATTCATATTTTTGCATTGAATATTCATAGAGACATTTTTTCAGCGTTTTTTTTCGCATCCTTTTTAACACACCTATAACTTTCATAGCCACAGCTCACTGTGGCAATGGAATCTTCAGGCAATATGTGAAGTGGTTTTATATGTTTGGCTTTGCAGGGAAGAGTTGTTGTTTTCTAAATGCTTTTTCCACACCACACAAGATATATTCTGAGCTTCTCGCATATGCTTTTTTTCCCTACTTCACAGCTCTACAGTCTCTTATTCTACCTGAAGACCCAAATAAAGAGGAGAAAGAGAAGCTAGAGAGCAAAGCTGTGCTACTGGGAAAAAAAAATCTGGCAGATTAAAAAAAACCTTTTGCTATATTTCATATAGTAAACATTGCATATCTTTCTCCATAGCCTTCACCTAGTAAGACACCATTTCTGACTTCAGTTATTTATCATAATAAGGTGGAACCTTTGATTCAGTAAATGTAGAGAACAGAAAATATCAGAAATAAACTAATTCCAGAAACACTTTCACTTTTAACGGTTTCATTATGAGTAGCTCCTTTAAAAAGAACACAAAGTTTCCCAACTGCAGAATTTCACAATGTGTACAAAATGTCTTTTTTTACAAAGGTAACCCCCTCTAGTTTTGACCAAATATACAGAAGTCCACATTTTGGGAAATGTTACTTTGCTGACAACTAGAAAAACAAAAAGGCTGAAAAATCCACTTTCTTGTATCTCGTTAGAATATGAAGTCACTATTTACTTCAACTCTATTTTCAATTAAAATGCTAACATACACAAAAGAATTGATGATTACACCTTTGGTCCTTTATATATACATATATATTACACAAACAGTCAGAAAAATTCTGTAACTGACAGACCCAAATGCATTAAGAGGAAAGCTGACACCTGTCATGTGAAAAACACCAGTATTAAAGGGGGAAAAAGGTCACCGAAACTCCACAACTGTAATTTTAAATCTAAAACCAAAATGCTCCCAGAAAAGCAAATGCACGCTAAGAAAATAAATACAGTGCCACAGTGTTCAGTGTGCTCAAGCTCAGAGCAGAGCACACCAAATGAAACTCCCCAGATGAAGCAGAAAACAGGTTAATGACCACATAAACACCAGCTAAGGAAGGAAACCCACAGAAAAGCCCCTTGAGAGAAGTTTCCCTGGAGAGCTGTGCCCTGTCCCGCAGGCAGCCCTGCCAGCCCAGCCCCGGGCTGCATTACTGACCCATGCAGCACATGATTCCCACCAGCTCTGCCTTCTGCTCCTTTCTGTCTTCACCACACTCTCTCATTCTGCCCTTCAGGACTTCAGAGCTTCCTTTCTTTCCAAGTAAAGGAGAGCCAAGGAGTGACCAGGGCTTCTCCTGGCTGACACAGAGTAGCAACACCCCTTTTTTAAAAAAACAGGAGCAAACAGCCAATGTGCCTTCTGAGCAATCAAAACTATGAGCCCTCTGGCTTTAACTCATAACAAGATATTAATTAAGGATCTGTGTTTGAGGTTTGCTGGTTTTTTTTAACTTTTAGGTGCACTAATAGACATTTGAGTACAAATGTTGAGCTTTCCAAACAAGGAAGTCTCTTTTTTGCCTCTACAGCAGTAAGCAGCAAGAAGAGTCACCCTGAACCCAGCAGATGGATACTCATTAAGCCAAGGTAATTTAGGAATGCAGGTGAAGCAGGAGTTGCAGAAAAAAGCACATATTGTTAGATAATCTGATCTATAGATTATCACAATAAACCCTCTGTGGTAATTAATCCATTTTTCTGCTTTTACCTGCAGACATTATTCTGATATATCAGACAAAATCAAAGTTTTTTATGCTTTATGTGCCTGGAAAGTAGCTCAGTAAGAGCTCAGTAACATACTTGTGTATGTTAGCTCAGTAAGATGTCACCAATCTGAATAACCTGTTAAAATACAGGCAAATAACTATTAAAAAACAGTTATTGCCACTAAGGTCTCCTTCTGGGCATTTTTGTCATTCCTCAATTTCAAGCACAAACTCAGGAGCCAGATCCTTCTAACACCAATGCTCCCTTCCAGAAACCACTAAAAATTACATGGCTCAGAGTGTCTGGAAATCAGAACAGTTTCTCTGGAACTCAAGTTCACTATCAGGATTACACCAAAGACAACATATGGCATTGACGCCTTTTCAATGCTCTCCTGGGGAAAATCACAGACCTGGTTAGGTTGGAGAAGACCTTTAGCCACAGTTAAACTGCCACATTCACCGCTAAACCATGTCCCTAAGTGCCACATCTATAAGTCTTTTAAATAGCTCCAGGGATGGTGATTCAGCTTCTTTCCTGGACAGCCTGGTCCAATGTTGGACATTAGGAGGAATTTCTTCATTGAAAGGTTGTCAAACCCCAACATCCCCTGGTACAATGTGAGGCCATTTCCTCTTGTCCTGTCCCTTGTGGCTTGGGAGAAGGGACTAAACCCACCTTGTTACAGCTTCTTTTCAGGCAGTTGTAGGGATCAGTAAGATCCCCCCTGAACCTCCTTTTCTCCAGGCTAAACACCCCCAGCTCCCTCAGCTGCTCCTCACAGGACCTGTGCTGCAGACCTTCCCCAGCTCCACTGCCCTTCCCTGGACTCGCTCCAGCCCCTCAGTGTCTTTCTCACAGTGAGGGGCCCAGAACTGGACCCAGCACTGGAGGTGCGGCCTCAGCAGTGCTGAGCACAGGGGGACAATCCCTGCCCTGGTCCTGCTGGTCATACTGCTGCTGATACAGGCCAGGATGCCACTGGCCTTCCTGGCCACCTGGGCACACACTGGCTCTATTCAGCCACTGTGGATCAGCACTCTCAGATCCTTTGCTACCAGGCAGCTTTCCAGCCACTCTACCTACCCCCAGCCTGTAGCACTGCCTGGGGTTGTTGGGGCTCACATGCAGAAGCCACTGAATGCTACTCTCCACCTCAAGACAAACCTGAAGGCTTCTCTGAACAACCCCACCAGATGCCACCAGCTTGAATGAGTAGAACAAATCTCCACAGTGACATAAGGAAATGCAAAATGACTGCAGGAATACAAACTCCTTATTCTTCAGATGAGCTGCCAATTTCTATGCTGCTTTCTTCATTCTAACAGTGACAATATCAACGTCTGGAGTTCCTACACCTAGTGACAGACTTAGAAAAAGAAATCTCCTTTTCTTAGGCAGCTTTTGGCATTGTTATGGTTGCTTCTCTGCTGATACTGGTTTGCATACGTGAATGGCCAGATAGTCAACAGGTTTTTCTACATGTGCCTAGGTATTAGCAAAAGCCCTGATAGGTGTTCTTCCTATATTTCTGTACGAAAACTCACGTCATATTCATATATCTCAATTATATTTATACTCATATGCAAATGCACTAGGTTTTCTATACATATTGTTGCTACTTATAATATATATTGTAATGTTTAGTACTCATTTAGAAAACTGATGTCCATAGCATAGAAGAAATGCTACTCATTTAAGCAATAGTTATTCAATAATGTATTTCATGTTGTTGAAAATCCAGCAACAATTCATTCATAATTTTTCAATCTCTGATCAGAAAATTAACTTCATGATAGGTTTTTCTCTGGTACTACTAATGTTCCTTCTGTAAGCTAGACCCTGGTGTCTCCAACATCACATTCAG